TTCATCTGATGTGAATTGTGTTCCATTATCGGATACAATGGTAACTGGTACTCCGTACATGGCAAAGATGTCGTCTAAGATATTGACAGTTGCGATTGCCGTCGTCACCTTAGTAGGCTTCACTTCCAGCCACTTGCTGTAGGCGTCTACGATGATCAGAAGCATTTTTCCGGCTACTGGGCCCGCATAATCAACATGAATCCTTTCCCATGGTGCCTTGGGATACTCCCAGTGGTGTTCTCTAAATTTGGGTGGTGCATTTGCATATCTAGCACATTCAATGCAAGACTTGGCGGCACGTTCGATGTCTGCATCGATACCTGGCCAAAAAACAAACGAGCGAGCCAGCCCTTTCATTTTGACGATGCCGATGTGGGCAGCATGCAGATCCTGGATGATAGCGTCCCGTAGTATTGGCGGTATAACAACTCGGTGCTCAAATAATAAGCAATTTGCCGCGAGCGTATACTTAGCTTCTGGAGCTTTAAATCCATGACGAACAAGGTCCTGTCCCGATTCCAATAGTTTGGTGATGTTACCAAGATGTTGATCTCTCCGGGTCTCCCGTGCGATGGTCTCTGCTCGGACTGGTAACTGTGTAGTTTGATGTACGACAAATTGGTCAAACTCGTCATAGTTCTCTGCTTCCTCCCTCCTACGTGACGAGTTGTAGTAGATGGTACTAACTGTTACCATTGCATGCACCCGAGAACAATAGTCGGCGTTCGCATTTGCTTTTGACGTTTTGAAAGTCACGTCAAAGTTGAAATTTGCCAAATAGTCCGCGTAGTTGGCCATTCGACTAATGCAGAGCACCGGGAGTGACTTTTCCGGGTGTAGGATCTGTGTCAGCGGTTTATGGTCTGTGATCAGCGTGAAATGGCGAGCATAGAGGTAGTTGAAGAACTTTTTTACAGTCCAAACGATGGCGAGTGCTTCTTTATCTATTTGAGGGTACCTTTTTTCCGCAGCCGACATCGTTCGACTTGCGTATGCAATTGGACGTTCCTGTCCATTACTGAGTCGGTGAGATAGGACTGCCCCCAATCGCGTACTGCTTGCGTCTGTTGCCAACAGCAACGGAAGTGACGGATCGTACTGCATCAGGACTTGTGGCGAGATCAAAATCTTCTTGATGTCCAGGTAGGCCTCTGTACTAGCTGAAGTCCATGCAAAGGGGTCCTTGAGGTGCATATCTCGAAGAGGACGTTCCCTTGTTGACAGGTCGGGGATGAAAGAGCTGTAATATGTTGCCTTGCCAAGAAAAAGTTGCAGTTCCTCCGGTGTCGATGGCTTCAGAGCATCTCGTACCGCTTGAATGTGTCCATCCGATTTATGTATCCCATTTACGTCGACCTTGTGGCCCAAGGCTTCTAGGACTGTTTTTGCGAAAGAGCATTTTGAACGGTTGAGTCTTAATCCATGTATCCTAAAACGCTCCAGAGTTGACGTTAGTGCCTGCAGCAGGTTATCAAATCGATCCGCGTAGACGATGATGTCATCAAAGAAATTGACGACATTGGGTAGATCCTGGAGAACTGTGTCCATGCGTCGCTGCCAAATAGCGGGGATATTTGCTGCTCCATACACCGCGCGTGTTGGTTTAACGAGTCCATGGGTGGGAGTATTTAGCGTTAACGCGTGACTAAATTCTTCATCAACTTCTAAGTGCGTATAAGCGTCGACGATGTCCAGGTGGCAGAATAGGGTTGCGCCTCTCAACTTGTTGAAGAGATGCTCCACTTTTGGGATCGGATGTTCGTCAATTATGATTCTTGGGTTCAGTGTTGGCTTGTAGTTGCCGGTGATTCTTAATTTACCGTTTTTCTTGGCAACAATGTGGGTAGTTGAGGCCCATTCCGAGTAGTCGACTCGATTGTAAAATCCTGAGGCAATTTTAGCATCGATTTCTTTGGCGTATGCATCTCGTAAGGCGAGCGGTACTTCCCGCGCTCGGGAGAAGACTGGCATAGCTCCTGGTTTTAACTTCATTTTCGCTGGAGGACCTGTCAGTTTGCCAGGGGTTTCTCCAAATAAATCATCATATTTGGTTAGTAAATGGTCCAGCTGTTTCTCTTGGTCGACGGTGAGGGCTTTCGGAACTTCTGTGGTGGATATTTGGTGCACTGGGGTTGGCTTGGTGAACAGGCCCTCAAAGTCTATTTCGTGCACAAATTCTGCGATCCATTCTCGGCCCAGAAGCGTGTCGAATTCTTCATTCACTACATAGAGATTGAGCGCCTTCGTGGTTGCTCCAATGGTGACGTTGACACAGACACGACCGATACAATTGATCCGGTGGCCCGTGTAACTGGCAAAGTTTCGGTCTGTCTTCTGTAAATTAAAAACATGATCAATTTTGTCAAGATTATGTTTGCTTATAATTGAGCAAGGAGCGCCTGTATCAAGTTCCATTTTGACTGTACTGTCCTCTATCTGGACTGTCAGTATCTGTCGTCCTGGTGATGGTACTGAGCCGATGATTTCAAGTTTACTTAACCGTTGTACTCAGTCGATTTCATCGTTGATCTCTCCGGAAGCAAGTTCTTCCTCGGTGAGCTGGTTCGTATTTTTAGTTTTTCTGGACTTACATACCCTGGCGATATGTCCTTTCTTTCCGCATTTGTTACATTTGCTGTTCAAGAATCTACATTGACTACGAGGGTGTGTCTCACCACATCCTGCACATGTGTACTGGTTATCCTGGGTTCTGTCATTGTGCTGAAATTGGTTGTCAGCTGCTTCCTGTTGTCCGTATACTTTCTTTCGCCCTTGTTGATTCCAGTTCTTACGCGATAGCGGTTTCTCGTATCCAATTTTGTTTGTAAGCTCGGTCTTCGCTTGTGTGGTATTTACCTCATCTGCTGTATTGCGCATGACTTACAGCGCATGTGCAATTTCGTACGCGTCTGTGAATGATGTCAGTTTCTTCGAAATTATTTCGTCACAAATTTCTCGAGATTCCAGACCCAATAGTAGTTGTTCTATCAACATCCGGTCGAGAAATGTATCATATTCGCAATACACGGCGGCCTGCCTTAACCTCAACGAGAAGTTGGCAATAGTTTCCCCTTTATTTTGTCTGATCTGTCGAAACTTTATACTTTCGGCGAATTTATTTCGAGTTGAATCGAAGTGGCGTATCAGTTTCGATCTTATTTCATTGTAAGTAAGTGTTTCTGGATCAACAGGACTCACCAAAAACTTCAGTGCGTCATTAAGCTCGGGCCCCATATAGACACGTGCGTAACTTGCGTGTTTGTCTTCTGGAATTTTGCTCAGCTCAAGTGCCCAGGAGAAGCGCATGAAATAGTCGCTGATCATGGTTCCATCGGTGGAACGATACGATCCCATGGCGAACGGAGGCGGGCGCGGCAATGCTGCTGTGACAGCGGCTTCTGTGGTAACATTAGTCGTGGAGGCTTGGATTGCGTTAGCTATCATGCTGGAGAAAGTCTGAAGTAGTTCAGGAGTAACTGTCGGAGTGGCTGGCATCGTTGGTGATCACTAAGTTGGTGCAGGACACTATATACTCTCGATCCCACTTCTGACACCACTTTTATATTTGTGTATAAATAACGCAATAAAATTATATGAAACTTTATTCTCCATTTTTGACAGAACCTTTTCTTTCATTCATAAAAAGACAACTAACTTAACAACAACGATAAAACAAAAACATACATAGGTTGTGGGTTTGGTTCCATGCTCTATGTCATGTGTGACAACTCGCACTCTTTGAACGCGTTAAATAATTAATAGTCCAGTCATATTCTTTCAAAAACATACACAACAATCCGGAAAAATCCAAACTAAGCCATGACGTCACAGACCAATTGGATCCAGTATATGAGTGTACCTGTTATAAGCTTTTAAACAAAACAGTTTTCATTCCGATGTCACAATTAACAACGAAGATAAAAGCGGATGGAATTATTAAACGGTTTGCTATTATTAAAAATGCTTAGATACGCCACTGGTAAACGGTAAATGGGTCTGAGTGGGAATTTTGAAGATAACAAAGATTTTATAAAGATCATACATTCCTATATTTTTTCATAAACCAATTAATAGTAACATGTTTAGAACAAATATTATCCAATATGGCGGCCATTTTGAAAGCTGTCAGAAAAATTTCAATACACCATTATTATACAAAAATGTCCCAGAAATCCAAATTTACAATAAAAAAAGTAGGTATGAATGAAAAAATAAAAAATAAATTACGATTTTCTGTTATTTCCGGAAGAACCGGAAGTAAGTCATGACGTCACAGAACAATTGAATCCATCGTATGAAAGTATTTGTTCTACTCTTTCAAACAAGAAAAAAATTATTTCGATAACTCAATGAATAACGAACATAAGGGGGGTGGAACTTTTAAGTGGCCCACCCTTTATACAGCTATAAATAAACATTTTAAGTCAAGTTTTATCGTTACCTCTAATAATAAAATATCAAATATAAAACTATGTTTTACAACACTGAGCACTTATTATTCGTTTTTACAACCATTACAATTCCCCCTTCCCTTGTTTAACTTGCAATTTGACAATTTCTATCTGATCGAAACATGCTTTATACATTTAAATCCACTAACTCACCATCTGCAAATCCCCTCCTTTCACCATGTGTTGACTAGGTTTAAAAGGTCGATATTATTGAATTACAATTGTTTAATGACAATAAATATTTTAAACAAATAAAATTGATGGGGCCTCATCGCATTTAACGTAATTTAAAAAATGTCTGCTTAAAGAGAAAATCTTTTTTTTTTCTAAAAAATAAAAAATAATACTCAATGTAGTTGAAAGATTTATTATAACATCTTAAATATTAATTTTATGAGTAGTTTACACAAAATTGTACAATATGAACAAAAACTATGTGTTCAAATATTTATCCTATAATTATTTGAAGTATGAAATTATAACTAAAAATATTTTACAGTATACATTTGGAATATATATTTAAAAAATATGTACCTAATAATATTGTATTCAAGCTTCAATTAATTCTACTTGTTCCCTGGTTCTTGCAATTTTTTTATAAAACTTCTTATAAATCAAAATGGCTTGCAAAAAACACATGCATATTATAAAAATAGTATTTATAGTAATGGATACTACAACTTTTTTATCTTCAGTTTTTTCTGAATCAACCAATTTTTCAAATTCAGGGATATTTTGAAATAGCGGAGGAACAGGTTTTCTTAAGTTTTCGAGGTATTGATAAAATTTGCTCTTTTCAAAATCTTTATTGAAATAATTAAACATATTACTTTTTGAAAAATCTTCATTTAAAGAGATTTTATAATTTTTTAAATCCTCTAAATATTTTACAAATCCACTGTTTTTAAAGTCGTTATTGAAATAGTCGTACATATTTTTCTTAAAATCTGTAAAATTTTTAGTATCTTTCAGACTCTCTAAATATTTATAAAATTTGCTCTTTTCAAAATCATTGTTGAAATATTTAAAAATTTCGGTTTCGTTAAACTTAATAGAACTCGATTCTTGGAAATTTGCCATAAATTTATAAAAGTTGCTGTTTTTGAAATCTTTGTTGAAGTAGTCTTCAAGAACATTTTTCTCCTCACTGTTTTTATTGTTTGATTCTTTTAAAAAAGACGTCATTATATTTTCGATGTTTAATTTTAAATTTTCAAAATTTTTACTTGCATAGTTTTCTTGGTTTTGAGTATCTGAACATGCTATTCCATGTATATTGGAAGAGTTTCTTGTCGTGCTCGTGCCATACACAATTTTAGTGTTGTTTCCAAATACTGTGTATAAATGTGATTAAATTATCGCATGAAAAGTTATTGTTATAAAAAGATATTTTTTGCAAAACGTGAAAATCAGAAAAAATTCCTTCATCAATATTGGTAAATTTTATTATTCTGTATGTATAGTTCTTTTAGGTTTGTTACAGCATGTAATACCCAACTTAATACTTTTAATATTATTAAATGATAGATCCAAAATTTCTAATCTTGGTAAACTATCGAAAGTCCCGTGTTCAAATTTTTGTAACCGATTTTCAGAGAGATTAAGTTCCTATTAAATGATCCAAATTAAAAAAATTTCCAGTGGCTAAATTACTAATATTATTGTGGTTTAAAAATAAATATTTTAAATTAGATGCATTTTTAAAATAAAACTGTGGTATTGTAGAAATTTGATTAAAACTGATATCAAAGTTTTGTAGCCTGTTCTTATAACCGTCAGTACAATTGTTCATTGTTGGCAATGTATTTAATAAATTATTCATTAAATTTAAAGAATTAAATGTTAACGGACAAAATTCTGTTTCATTTATTTGATTATTACTTAATGACATATTTAGTATTTTGTAGTTTTGCGTCGATGGTAAAGTAAGAAAGATTATTGAAGCTTAAGTCAATATCATCAATAATTTTTATATTAGGATCGAAAATGCTAAAGAAAAAGTCTGTTAACTCATTCTGTGAAAGGTTTAATTTCTTTAAAGCAGTGCTAACCTATTAAAGAATGAGTTAAAATTCTCTTTATGTTATTATGCGAGACGTCTAGTACTTGCAAGGAGACCAAAAGAATTAAAAATGCCCAATTCTATTTCTTCTATTTCGTTTTTAGATAAATGTATTTCGTTAAATCGATGCTGTCCAAATGCTCCTGGAGATATTATAGACAGACGAAGGTCATTTAAGTTCAAATATGTTATAGTCGGGGATGTCAACAAAGGCATCAGTAGGAAGACTAGTAGTATTTAATGTTGTATAGATTGTTAGAGTTTTGAAACAATTATCACAGTTATCTATAATCAGATTTTTTAATGGAAAATATACTTCGTAACACGCTGTTTCAATACTTTTAATCAAGATTATTGTTTCTGAAGATACCCATTGTCCATATTGGTTGATGTGTTCCGGGATAATTTTCTTCTTCTTTATCAGATTCATCCGAGCAATAGCCGAACACTTTTGAAATCAGTAATTGAAGTGTCACGCAGAAGAGGCAGTAATTCCTGTAAATATAAAATATTATTTTAAGTAGTACAACGCATTGATGCTTAAGGAAGAAAGTCAATTTGCGACCCAAATATAATCACATACATGATTTTTTTATACCATCGCAATTAAATTTATGCAACGAATTAAAATCTTATTTGTAATATAATGAATGTCACTTTGAAACAAAATGAATTACTAAATAATTATGTCTCTGTATTAGTTGTTATCAAAATTTGAGAAGACGACAGGGTTTTAACTAGTAAATGCGCAAACTTTAACGGTTGATAGATACCACAGAGGTCGTTTAAAATATGCCTTATTTAGTGAGTTTTTCAATCTCTATAACAAATATACCAGATGTTTCATCCAATTTATCCGTTTCGTAAATCCCTATTTTTTATGTCGATTGTACAACGGATATAATAATAATAATACTCTCCCTAATTCACCCCCCTTCCGAGTGAATTTTAATCCCAAAAGCTGAGCTTGTGCGGGGAAAGGGACGGCTATTATTATTATTTGCCGTGGCGCTCCGGGGCGACTTAAAGATGATTGATGGTGCCATTTGACTTATAGGTGAGAAAAACCCGGAAAACCTCACCCACCATCATCGAGACGGTAATGCATGGCGATTTTATAATCTGCATGTCATATCAACAGAAACTGAATTTATATTAATACGGCACACATCAAATCCTAAACCGAACCATGCAATTTAATTAAAAATCCACATGGTCCGGTCTGGGATTCGAAGCCCAGCAGTCTCTGACTCACAAACTTGCCTATAAATGAATATAAGCGCGTTAGACCGCTACACCACCGACCCGACATTGAACAACTAAATCGTAAAAAGAATGGGAATGGTGTAAGCAGTAAACATAAAAAAGCAGAATGAGATGAGCACATCAGTTTGTTTAATTTTAAATTTTTTAAAAGTAGGCGGGTGATCTCAACATTACAAAATCACCACATCCTTCGCCTAGCAGATAGTTAGAAAAAAGGAAATTTAATAAAATAAAAAATTATCAAATATAAAATGTTCTCTGTAGTATTGTCAACGTAGATATATTGTGGCGGTTACGAGAGTGGATATGGTCTAATTCTAGCAAGAGTTGCTATTTAACCGGTTGTTGGGCGCCATTGTTAAAATAACACAATTAATTAAATTCAAATCACTTGTTTATAACTACCTTTAATTTAAATCGAATTATTAAAATATTTGTTTTCTAAAACCATTCATCATCCACAATTACTAAATATTTCTCAGGGGTAGGTCCGACTCTGTGGTTGCAGAGATTTATTTGTTTCACGCCAGACGGCGCTGCGATACGAGCTCGTCCGATTTAACCAATATGGTCACTTGTTATTTATGCTTGTGTAAAGTTTAAAACCTTAGATAAAAGAGACCAGAGATATAACATACACCGGTGTTTAACCTGCGCAAATGTTGTCAATTTCTAAAGAAGGTTAACGGAGTGGGGGAACTGGGCGGCGACACGCGGCGACCCGAACTCTGTGGCAGGGACCGGACTTTGTTTATTAGCATCATAATGAACTATTAGATTTATTTAAAAGGTGTTTAATCGAATTTTGTATTAATGAAATAAAATTAACGTGATTTTTTTAATATCAAACAGATGCCAACGACATTTTATGTAAAGAGAAGACATTTTATAGAATATTTCGTTAGCGTTTATTTACTACGGACTTTTCTGCAAGAGATTACAGTAAAATGTTAAAATAGAATATATTATTAATAGAGCAAAAAAATATTACTCATTGTCTACAAGTATTACAAGAATAGCATGTGCGCAGGCAAATACTGCAAATCTAACCTTATGAGTTGAACATTATATTTTTTTACGGCTATTACATAATAATAAAAATTAGTAAAAATGAGAAAATGCTGTTTTGTATTATAACCTCAGAAAAAGGTATATTAAGGCTTCTTTCTTTAGGAATATTAATTATGAGTCACATAAAACTCTAAAAATGCATATGTCTAAAACCAGATAACATTTTAAAATTTAAATCTATTAAAAGTCATTTATTATTATTTTTCATCGATCGATTATTATCAGTAATCTATTTTATTGCATATCCTTTAAAATCGATAATTCGATTATCTTTGAAATGCCGAAAATAATCGATAATTCCAAAATAATCGCCTAATCGAAAATAACCAATTAATTAAGAAGCCGATTCTATGATAAATCGATTTTAATCAATATTCTATTTTATTGTATATCCTTTAAAATCGATAATTCGATTATCTTTGAAATACCAAAAATAATCGATAGTTCCAAAATAATCGCCTAATCGAAAATAAGCAATTAATTAAGAAGCCGATTCTATGATAAATCGATTATTATCAATAATCTATTTTATTGTATTTCCCTTAAAATCGATAATTTGATTATCTTTGAAATACCGAAAATAATCGCCTAATCGCAAATAACCAATTAATTAAGAAGCCGATTCTATGATAAATTGATTATTATCAATAATCTATTTTATTGTATATCCTTTAAAATCGATAATTCGATTATCTTTGAAATACCGAAAATAATCGATAATTCCAAAATAATCGAATAATCGAAAATAACCAATTAATTAAGAAGCCGATTCTATGATAAATCGATTTTCTAAAAAATAAAACGAATTATCGATTATTTTCTAATAATCCTTTTTTTTAATATTTCCTTTAAAATTGATTATTCAATTATCGAAAATAATCGATTATTAAAAAGCTGATTACCCAATAAATCGATAATTTTAAAAACTAACCAAAATGTCGGTTATATAAAATAACCGATTATATTTAATCGATTATTTTCATATAATCAAATAATGAAAAAACCGATTAAACGAAAATCGATTATTTTGAATAAATCTACTTTTTCTTGTATTTCCTTTAAAATCGATTAATACACTTATTTTAAAAAAACAAAAATAATTTATTAAAAACAGCGGATAAATCGATTTTCATAAAAAAATATCAGAATTATCGATAAATCGATTATTTTTGTAACCCTTATTGGTCACTTGCCTTTATCCGAGCATTTAGCTCCAAAATTTAGATATTCGAATTTTTTTGATCCCGTTGTCTTTGAAACCGCATTCGATTGTATAATAAATAATAAATATTGCTAAATTTTGGATTTTTTTAGTAAACGAAAATTTTGTTCCGAGTTGTTTAGGGGTTTGTAATGTGACATTTTATTAATGTGACCAACTCACTTAACTTTAGTATTTTTTTTGCTTATACTAGATCATATGGTGCGTTTTATTTTGTTTTAAGACTGAAGATTCAAATGTCACTTTTCGATTTGACCGCAAATAAGATGAACCTTGAAATTTTAAATAGGTCATCCTGTATTTCATCTAATATTCTTATAAAAATACCTTATAAAAAATAAAATTTATCTAGCAACTATGATTCTTTACTTCTTATTTATCTACCAAAAAGGGCTAAAAACCACCTTTAGAAAACATTCTTATAAAACTACTTTTTAAATACAAAATTTCGTTAGCAACGATGCCCATTTACTTTTTATTTAAATTAAATGTTCAAAATTTTACCTTTTGTAAATTTATGTAAGTAATATGAAATATGATTTCTGATGCTTAATATTTATTGAA